TCCTCCTCCGGACTGCTGATGGCGCCTCCTGGGTCGACTGTTGGAGAGATGTCCTGATCCTCCTCCTCCGGTCTGCTGATGGCGCCTCCTGGGTCGACTGCCTTGACGAGAGCCAGATCTGTTCTGATGTCGTCCAGGGTCCTCGCGACGAGGGCCAACTCTGTCCTGATGTCGTCCAGGGTCCTCGCAGGTGTTTTTCCCGACCGCAGACTGGCTCCAGTGGTACCAGTTGTCTCCCTTTCCATCTAGGCGAACGGCATGAGAGGTCCCCTCCAACCAGACGTAATCTGCTGTGTTGGCCTTGTGTTTCTCGGGTCCCCCTTTTGACGTCAGCAGCCTGTGTGGAGAAGTCTCATACCAAGCCCTTAAGTTGCTGGAAATATGGTTTTGAAATCATCTCAAAAATCAAAATCAAAATCAAAAATCAAAAATAGAACAAAAATAAAAATAAAACAAAAAAGGAACAAACTAACAAAACAAAAAATAACCAAAGCTAGATTATTTTAAATGTATCAATTTCTCTTAAAAGCAACAAATAAAACAAAACAAAAAATACCATAACTAGTATTTCTAAATTGATAAATTTCTCCTAAAAACGTAATAATCTCACATACATATTGTCTGATGTATATCCCATCCTTTTCCCCCTTTTACTGAAATAGAACGCCGTTAACGGTGTTCCTATTTTCAGAAATATCGAGCCTTATACATCAGTTATTTAATATCAGCTATATATTTATTATTACTATTACTTATATATCAGGCATTAAATGTCAGCCTTCTTCCATGATTGACCTCGTCTACATTATCTGACTTATATTGATACGTGTCTGTTTGTATTTATTTAATATACTGGGCAATTTATTGATAACTTTTTGAATCTCCCTCTTTTCTTAACAACTTGAGGTATGGCTATTTTGAAATCTGACTTGGTTAAGAGATGATTTGTTTATTGGTGAAAGGAACACTCTTCCCCTCAATGGTGTGGGGGTGGATATTCAGGGAGAGTTCCTTACAATCTCCAGATCTTCCTCTCAGTGTAGAGGCCATAAAACCTTTTAATGGGCTCTGTGGTCTGTTCAGATTTAGATTTTCTTCCTCTCCAGAGGTCACGCCTGTCTTTGACCCTGTATGCTGCTTTGAGTCAGCAGCACCTCACGACAGAGAAAGTGTGAGATCTCTTCCCAAAAGTGTAAGTTCCCTTTTGAGCAACATAGCTCCACATTTAACACTCCCTGACTTGTTTGTAAAGCGTTCTTTAAGGCCTGAATCGAGTCTTCCGTTATGTAACGGAAAATCCCATTTCCAAAAAGGGTCAGTTCAATAGCCCTTATCATATTACCGCTCTGTGCTTGCATGCTAGGACCTATTGTCTTTGCCAGAGCTGCTGCTACTCTTTCTACATGTATTAGCTTCATATTAGCAGGGTTCACTAACATGGTTGGTTGATCCAGTTTAAGATTTTCAATATCTTCCATTACTATTTCCAACATTCCTTATCCCTGAATATCAGGTCTAACAATGTGTTTTCCTTTAGGAGTATTAGATGGGATACTCATAAGTGGCATTTGTGAGCCCTTATCTCCTTAGGGTGGAGGTAGGGTCTCAGACATTATACCACCTTCTCGTTGCTCTCTGTCTCTCAAGTATTACACAGATTTGACTTTAAAAAATCACACAGAGCTTCTCATACCTTATCATATCACATTCAGGCACATTTTTATTGTGCGATGTTTATTTCAACAGATAGCGTGACTTCCAGAAGTAGGCTTCTACAATCTCCTCACGGTGATTGCGACTTCAGGTCAAGAGTTAAAAACTCAGTCAACAAAATCTCTTTATCGTCACGTTTAATGAGCCTGATTATCCCCACAACAGTTTTGTGATGAGATACGGTCGTTCCAAATAATTAGTTGGAGGTCGCGTCTCTCTCCTCCTCTATCACCCACCATATAACAATTACAGACATTTTATACATTTAAAGCACCACGAAAGGTAACCGCATTAATCAATCTGATCATGACCCGCGGGGAATGTAACCCTTCTTTTACAGCCTTACAGTCTTTATGGAAGCACTGTAAGGTAACCGTATTCATCAATGTTATATTGACCTACGGGGAATTTAACCCTATTTTGACACCTTCGTTAGTCTTTAATTAAAGCGTTGCAAGGTAACCGCATTAATCAATCTTATCATGATCTGCGGGGAATTTAACCCTCTTTTTCTAGCCTTGCAGCCTTCGTTTTTGCTCTAGATCCAGGACTCAAATACCCTTCTCTAAGCACTATTAATCTAATTTAACTAGAATATGTATTGTATTTCCCACCGTGACTAAGAACACTGAGAACGCTGCTGACAACTCTAAATTTTTTGGTATAATCAATCACAGATATTTGATAGTTAAAACAGGTGTCTGCTCACCTCTTGTATATTGCCATGGTCTTAGTTGTCACCAGTATCTCTGTGTCCTCCCCCTGGACTGGATTCTGTCCCCCGGCTATCGGTGTTCCTTTCTAGGGATCAGCTCACAAACGTCGGGAGTCACCACTTGTTGGAGTAGAATACCTCTGCTACGCGCCGTTCGTTGGATGAGGCTGGATCTCTATTAAATTAAGAAAGGAATTGAAAACACCGGAATCAAAAGTTACAACAATTATCTGAGTTTACTGGTAGGAAATCAAACACATATACAAGTTATACAGAGTACTCCGGGTACCCCGGGCTTTTAGATTTGTGATGCGATGCGGACAAATGCGTCAGGACCCGCCAACTCATCAAACCAAAAAGAAATTGGACTTCAGGTTTGTGATGCGATACGGACACAGTTCTCAGGACCTGCCACTCACCAAACCCAAAAGCAATTTTACACACACAAACGTCAGTATTTCTATCTGTCTTTGGGGCGGAGATTTGTCGATTCTTCCTTCCCACTTTTCTCCCAAGCGAATCAGAGAAGCCCTGGGGAGGAGCTGTTTAAACTGACCACCTCCCCCAAGTGCCCTGACTGGCTGGATTCGCTTCTGGCCGGGTTCAATAGTTCTCTCCAGGACTTGAAATTCCAAAGTCCCCTAAGGTCAAAAGTCAATTCTTATCTCCGTCCCGATCTCCCCTCCCTACCTTTTCCAGGGGATCTTTTCTTATTTTACGATGTCTTTAACGACTTAGAAACAGCATCTGGCTCTTAGTGGTGATAAGGATCAATGTTGGTGTGTGAAACACAGAATCTCTAAGTCAGTGAATTTAAAAGTGAGAATAACATTCTTTTTCTAAGTGATTATCAAAACCCGTTCAAACAATATATGTTTACTTCAATACAGTTTAGAATCATATCTTCTTACTTCACGCTCCGGAGGAAAGGACGTCCCATTGCTCTTAAAACTCATTTCCCTGCCTCTCGTGGTTTCCTTGCGTCTCTCCATGCTTCCCTGGTGGGAGGGACTAGTCGCAGGGAAACGACGCAAGTGAGGGACGCAAGGAATCCATTTAACTGAAGTGAAACGCAGCCATAGAAACAAATTGGCGGGGCGCTCTTCGCACGTGCGCACACTAAAAAATTCCACGCGCTCCGCGCTCACATTATGCTGGGCCCACGTGCCTTAGCACCGCTGCTATGACTCCATCCTAGGGGAAACACTGATGTTTGTCAATCTTAAATAATAATTTCCATGTCAAAAAAGTCACAGTTTGTCGTAAAACTGTTGAAATATAAGACTATGAAATGTGTGTGTATGTACAGCTCTCAACATGCCCAGACTTGTAGTGATTTTCACCTCTTAATACCACATTACGTCACACGTTTGATGCGCGCCCGTGATTGAACATCTCTTTATTTAAAAAATACGGGGAATACGGGTCTCCTTCCATGCTCCCTGTGCGACGCGTCATGTCACATGTTTGGCGTGCCTAGATTGAAAATGCTTCATTTAAAACAAAGACAATAAACAGAGCAGTCTTCACAACGGCCGGACAAAATACTTTGAGCCGCCCTATAGCCAAAGACACTGTTTAAAGCATAATAAAGACAAAATATAGAGAGCATAATGTTTTTAATGCAATGCAGCAACATATGCTTCAGCAGAGAATGGCCCGCGGCGGGAAGCATTCGCTCGCGATCTCAAGAAGCCTATGGACATCCCGAAAAGTTGAAAATGTACGCTAAGGGCCTCCCCCCTTGCGTTGGAAAAAGACCACAGGGGACCTTGACATAACGTCAACATACGCCGACCTGGGAGTGAGGATGTGTTGGTCACAACTGCACGCCAAAGGACCCTGACCAAGCGTCGCTATTGGACGACCAGGGAGTGAGACTGTGTTGTCTAATCAGACATCAGTCACCGTTAACAAATGACATGTCTGTATTCACCTCATTTCACTGCCGTAGGAGTACAAACACTGCAGGGGCCATTCACCTTCACACCTAATAATTTTACATTCAACTTTAAATCCACTTCAAATGACACTGCTCGACTTCATCTGATATTTCAACACGGTGTTGACAGTGACCTGAGAGGACAGAACATTCCAGAACTTAATGAGCGGTAGTTTATGCCTTACAAGTGAGGGCGTTTGACTATTCTAGAAACTACCCCCAGGTAGCGCTTGAAGTGTGGGGAAAAAGGGCCAGTCCTCCTATATTGACATATGCATTCTGGGTAGAGTAACTACAATTAACCAGAGTACACTAAGCACTAGGCTACATGAATAAAGATAACCTTTAAAGATCCACTTAAACAGGAGAATAAAAAGACAAACACAAGTGTATAAACAATAAAAGCCCCATTGGAGAGGCAGCCACACTCCATACAGTCTGAGCCCAGGGGTCTCGTTTGTCCAAACCTGCCTGGTTTTATTCCACTCTGAATGTGTAGCTAGTGCCCTGAGGTGTGAGCAGGATTCCTAACTGACATGTTCCCAGGGAATCCCAAAAGTTTAGATACCTTAAACTTAGTTTTGAAAAAACAAAAGGGGAGAGACAGTGAACATTTAAATATACAAAACATTTATTGAAAAATATGATATTACATGTTTAATTATAAATACATTTTAATATTACATTTGTTTAAAAACAAGACTTGTTTAAGAGAATGCAGTGCTCAGTACGGCGGATTACGTCCATTTCCACCTGGAAGAAGAAACAAATTGTATTAGGCCAAAGGAAGTCCGATTTATCACCAATACATCATGCAAGTCACAGAGTTGGTCCAATGTCAGGAAATAGATTCACATTTTCCACATAAGTCATAATGCCAAGTGATAAGATAAAATAAATTCTCAATTGAAAGAATACATACAGCAACACCTCTACTTTCTTTTTTCCTTCAACAAATGGTACAGGTGGAGGGGTTAGTTGCCCTAGACTGCCAACGAAAGCTTTATTTGTGCCCTGTGCTGGAAAGAATTAGGACGTGGACATAATGCTGACTGCAAAATGGATTCAAATGGTAGAGTTTTAATATATTAGCAATTTAGCAGGAGACAAAAGCAAGTGTAATCCCCAATTTAAAGTTTAAAAGAGGTAATCAGATTACTGGTAACAAAAATATATTTGGATAACAATATATTTTAGAATAAAGATAAATATATTAGTGATAGAGCTGCCTGAAATGTTTTTTTATGTTACACCTGATTAATTCAGCAAAGACACTTTGTTTGCTTTTAAAGTATGTATTGTAGTAAAACAGCTTTTGTTTTATCCTCTAGTCTTTGCCAATCATTTAAAAACACCCTTTTTATATTAAACAATGTATTAAACTAAAAGCATTTCCTGTTAACTCAGATTGTATTCCTGCTTTTTTTAAACTGTATTATGTGCTCATGTGCTTCATTGTTGGTGTATAGGCTGCTGCCTGAATCTGCTTAAAGGCAGGTCTTCCTACAAACAACATCTGAGCAGAGGACACGTTTTGATACCAAATATCTTGGTTTCCTCTTTACTAAGGTCAACATTGCATTTGATATTGAAGTAATCCAAAAGTAATAATCTTACATAACTTTTATATTGCGACACCAACATTTAAAATTGTTTATCGTAACGGAATACATTTTTTGACGTAACCCTGCAATTGTTCTACCAGTCTAAATTAAGACATTTCATTGAAATGAAAGACTCCCATTTGAAAACTGAATCCGCCCTGCATGACCGCTCCTAACAAATGAGACATGTATCACCTTGGTGTTTCGCAGGTTTGCCATAGTATCCACTGTAGGCTTCATGCTGGCTGCCGTCTGTAAAAAAAAAAAAAAGAGACCTTTTAAAAAAGGGCCTGAAAATGTGTCCAATCAGCTTTGTGTCCGACATCACACCATGTTCTGCTAAAATTATGGTCAAATCAAAAAGATCACCTGAATATGTAAAAGGCGGATTCCTGTTTGGTCCCATGCTGCACCTCCTCTCCTCACAGGTACACTTGTACTCCTGGAACTCATTACACTGGACTCCAAAGTCCACCTTCGATGGAGACACTTCTGCCGTCTTCTGATCAGCCATCGGGACGCCCAGCTGCTCTTTTCCAAGCCGACTAACTTCTTCGTTCCCACGTGCTCCATCTTCCACCTCGATGCCCGCTCCATTTAGTAGATTCAGCTTTCTTGCGCACGTCTTCCCAATAGAGTTCAAGTTCAGACTCTCTTCCTGCTGAGGAGGGCCGGTCCTTTTCTTCTGCTGCGCATTTAAAATGTCCTGGTTTGGGCTTCGATTAGCCTCAGGTTCAGAAGACCTATTTTTGTCCTCTTTAGTGGGGGAAGATACAATAATTGTACTCTGCAGTTCATTTGGCGAAGCCGAGCGATTCTTTTCTGAAGGAGCCCCGCCCTGGGCTTGAGTTGGACTTCTTATGTCAGAGGCCTCCATGTCGCTCTCCCTTTCCGGCTTCTTTTGTGGGCTTGTCTTTTCGGCGGGGCTGCAGAACAGGAGCCAGCTGTCCGACGAGGAACAATTTTCTCTAGATTTGACAATGGGGTTGTCGTTCTCGGCTTCCTCCTCGATCACATCGGCTGCTAACAGGCCGTTGTGCTCCAACCACTCCTTGGTGGGGATGAAGGGGGCCAGAGACTCCACGGACCAAATGGACTCGTTCCAGGTTCTCTTCAGGTAGGAGCTATTATTTATACAGGGAATGATTGGTGCTGTGTCTTCAAGCGAATTTGTCTCGATGCTATATTCTTGCTCATTGTCAGGGAGCTTATGGGATGAGGATTCTAGGCGTTCATCTGCGTATGGAAGACAATGCCTTACGGAGCCAACAAGTCCCAAAGACTCTTCATTGTTCCTGGACTCTGCGTATCGTCCTTCTTCAGCTTCTCTCAGTTTGAGGATCTTGAAAAGGACTTCACTGTGCTCAGAGATTAAGTTACCCTGCGCATCATCTTTAGGATAAGCCGCCTCTGGACTGATTCTGGTCTCGACTCCACTCTGGTGAACAGACTTATCCTGCTCTACTTCAGTTTGGAGGTCATTCTGAAGCAGCTTATCTGCTATCTTCAGCATCGTTTCCTGAGGCGTACCACCTTCCCAACTCATGAGGATGTCAGGAACGAAGATCCTTCTCTCTTTGACAACCTCCTCCTCTTGTTGGGAGGAGTTACACACAGGAACCATACCATCTTGAGAGCCAACAGACCACATGTTGCAGTGAGCGTTCCTGCATGGGGGAACATTCTCCTGACCCACACTCTCTTTTCGGCTCTTCTGAGTGTCCAGGGTTGCTCGGATACATGACTGGATGACTGTCGTTCCTGTAGGTCGGAGGATGTTAAAGCCATGTTTGTTACTGGTCCCTTTAACCGGGAGGTCTTCTGCATTACTGCTGTGTAACGCGTCGTTCTCAACTTCAGCAGAGTTTTGTTTTTGGGAGCTTGAGGGCGAAGGAGAGTTTATTGCGGTTCCACTACCCGAATCTGCGCTGATGAGTGGGCTTTCCTCACTGAAACCTCCTCCTCTCTGTTGGGGGTCTGTTTGGACCTCCGAGTTCACGGTTTCTCTCACTGGGTCAGTATGATGTGGGCGGACTCTACAGGGCTGGTATGGGTTCTGATACGCTACGCTAGGGGCCTGGGGGTGGATGAAACGTCTGTAGTCGACCGGTTGCATGTCAGGGCGGGGCATGATGTATGCTGGAACCTCCATATAGGGATTGGGAGGAGGAAACGAGGGCATCACCATACCATAGCCTGAGAAGTAGAAAAAAGAAACGTTGAATCGGAGATGGACGTTCAAATCCAGTGAGCAGCACCTTCAAATTTCAATATCTGAGTTTACATTTCTGTCATAGAAAAGTTAAAGCAAAGTTTCATACATACAGTATAAGACCATTGTGTTCAACAGTGATGTACAGTAACCAAGAACATTTAATCGAGAACAATTTTGAGATACTAGTACTTTAATTGAGTATTTACATTTCTGCTATTGTATTTTTAATCAACTTTTATTTATACAGTTACTCAATACCTTTAGTTACTTTTCATATTTGAATTAATGAAATATAACCAAGTGTTAAATCAGGCTTTAGTTCCACCTGGAGTAAATCCACAAGCTACCCTGCAGTATACAAAGTCATTCAAACTAGCTGCACCTTTACCAGCTTTGAGAACACTTTCATGATCAATCATTATAAAACATATCATATATTATTCTGAAATGGACCAATCTGCACAATGAATACTTTTACTTTTGGTACTTTAAATATATTTTGATGCTGATACTTTTACTTGAGTAACATTTTGAATGCAGGACTTTTACTGTAACAGAGTATTCCTACACTCTGGTACTTTTACTCAAGTACAAGATCCGAGTACTTCTTCCATCTCTGGTGTTGGATAATTAATGTTGTAGTTTTCATGTTATTGTTTGGCTTTCACCTAAAATATAGAACCACAAACCAGAATTTTTAAATGTTTCCACCAAAATGTAAAAACTCAAGACTCACCCATTCCTGGAAAGCCAGCAAAGGGGTTATAGGAGAAGGGCATGGGCCACTGGCAGGGGTGGAAAGGGGGTGGGGGTGGAGCATGGACGTAGAAGACAGGCCGGCCAGGGAGGTGGTGTTGGGGGTGGTGGGGTGGAGCTCCGTGGTCTTGGCAGGGGGTGTATAGTCCTGGATCATGCTGATCAGAGGATGGCCCACCACTGTTAGCCCGAGTGTTTCCATGCACTCTGATTGGGTGAGCTGACGGAGGTGTGTTCACAGCTTTCGCCGCCATATTGGACCTGCAGAGGAGGAGGATCTGTCAGGTGTGGATCCACAGCAATAATTCTAAAGAACTGTAGATCTGAGCAAACATTACACAAACAAGATGACACTTTTTGGGAGTATTTTCTTTTTTGGGATGAAATTGACTAGGAGTATTTGGAACAAATTCAGTGTATGTTTACAATGTTAAGAATGTTTTAAAACGATTCACTACTCAAGGAAATAACCACTGCAGTTAAGAGAAGACATTCACACATAGCTACCTCTCAAGCATTGCTAATGAGGGCATTTCAGTTATGTTTCTCACTTTGGTCTGTCTTTGTTGCAGTGGCTAGAGACCTGCATCTACACATGCATATTAGACATTTAGATTCTTAAATATTATATTCAATATACACAATTGTTTGCCACCAGACTTTTAATATTCATACACCAAGCATGTTAGGGTGAAATAAGTCGTGTAGATTTGTGGTTCTGAACCGTTTAGTGCTCTCCTCGCACTCAGTACCAAAAGTGACTTGCAACACCAAAACATACATTTGAAAAGCTTGAAGTTCTGATCTCAAATGTGGAACAATCGTAAATAAAGCCAATGAATAAAAATGGTACACACTAGATAATATTGAACGAAAAACCCAAAAATGAATCATCAAACAGTTGGAAACGTTATAGTACATTTCAGAGGGTAAGGGCATGGCGAAGTCTGAACACAACCAAATAACTGTTTACAGTATAGAAAACTCTCAATGTGTCAGGGAGAAGAAAATACTGAATTTATCAAAAAGAATGACAGCCTAAGTACTCAGATTTTAAATCAGAAAGCTCCTGCCAACACTCAAAAAAATGATGCTTCCAAATCTTTCCTAAGCATTTGCCATGTTGTCTGTTATAAAGAAAATGTTGAGTCACTTTACCTGGTTGAGGACTTGATATGTAAGAGCAACACAAAGTGATTAAACGTGAGACTCACACACCTGAGTTTAAGTAGCTGCTGATCAGGCAAGTGTGTTCACCATCAGCTGATGGAGCACCTGCTCAAACACTCAGATTAAGATGTCATGCAACCATTGGGACACTAGAGGGAGCCAAACAGTTAGACAAAAAGATGCTTTTTTGAAAGCTTATAAACATTTCTGTTGTCCATCAGACATTTATAATACATTTTAACTGCTTACATGGCACCCAAGGACACCTTATGTGGATTATATGTGCACAGCTTTTTCAATGCAGTAGCTAGTAGGAACAATCCCCCCCCCCAAAAAAAGGTTTCAGTTTTAGAGATACCCCTACCCGAGGTGGAACAAAGCACAACCATGTTTGTTCATTACTTTAATATGTCTCTGAAATTGATGTTTTTTAAAAAAATATTTTACCGCAAAAATATCTTTTCCACAATTTTGGACTAGATGTTCACAGAAAGGCAAAGCATACGATAAAGCAACAATTGTGGAATGCCTTCTACCATTTTTGCAATATATACACTTAAACTCACAGGAATGAAATAGGATATTACAATTCCAAAAGGTATGTGCATTATCTGACATTATTAAAGTAAGGAATGCAATCAGTCAAAAAATGTAATTTCAATGTACCAAAGACTGTTGTCTGTTAAGCTTTTCCTCCTCTTCAGTAAACACATCTGATGCCAAACCACTCCAGCGTATTTCAACTTAATATATAATCAAACAATTGAGGTAAACATATTTTTATAGTTCAACCACTCATTATTGTTGAATCATATGTACAGGCATAATAGAGCCAGATTATCATTTGTTACATTTTCTATTGGGATAACTAATGTCCCAACAGTTTATTTTGCCAATAATATTGGCCAAAGAGCTACCATAACCTTGCATTTCAGGGCATTCTAACTGGCTTTTATTTCCAGTGCAGATTTCCAGTAGAGTCTAGAAGTCTTGTGATGATCAGTGTGTGTGTGTGTGTGTTTGCTGTATTATCTAAGGGTCAATGTTGGCACTGTAAACACATTTATAAGGAACAAGATTATACCTTAAATTTGACCTTAGAAAGGGTGAATGAGCCAAGACAGAAATCAAAGCAGCACCATTGAACATGTTTGACTTTAAACTGTATTTAATAAGATTGTTAGGAGAACTTTGTATTGTGGTCGACAAGTAGAAACGCGTTACAGGGGCCCAAAACACTTCCATTTGGAAAAACGAGCTGCACTTTCAAAAACGATGCAAATGTGATAACACTAATTTGCTAAAATAAGGAAACATCTTCACCAAATTGACGAAACATGCGCAGTGTTTACTACAAATGCATAAACAAAACGCTGCAAATAATAATAATGCTGCAAAGCGGAAATGGGGTCACTGAACAGTGACGCACACAGCTAGGACCGGAGCGCTTGTTGACCTTTGGGGATAATAAAGTTGGCCAACTGTCACTGTTGGCAGAGGTTCATAAAAGTGTTTTGTGAGTATATTTGAAATGACTTAGTTAGCTACGTCAGCTAGCTTACAGCAAATCGGCAATAATATCAGAAGGTATCATTGTTAAAATAAGCAGATAAAACGTACATTTTAGGGAAGTTTCCAACAACAGTGACAGTTGGTTACCCCTGGTTTCCGATGTGTTTTGAGCTTCTTGCAGCGTTTGTTCTGTGTAGCATTTTGTATTTGGAGCGTTTTGTTCTTGCAGCGCATTTAGTTAACCCCGCACATGTGTTGTCGAGTTGGTGAAGATGTTTCTTCATTTGCACGTGTTTTTGCAAATTAGTGATTTGGATTGTTTTTGAAAGGACAGAGAGTTGCTCCTGATGGAATGTTTTGGGCCGTTAACGTAACGTATTTGCACTTGGCGGCCACCGTACCATTGTTAATGAGGTATGTGTACATTCCATGAATTAAAAATCCATGGCTTTCACAGCAGCAAATGTCACCATGAATGCAGTCGAGGAGCTACAGAAGGACTGCACTGTGTCGGGGGGAGGCTGCAAAATGCAAAAGAAAAGGAGATACATTGAAAGATAATATGGTCTGGCTTTTATCGTATTGATCAAAGTAGTGTCTGCCTTGTCTTTGTCCAGACCTGGGGAACATGGGGTCAACCAATCAGCCTGCTACTCCATTACTGCGAGTTGGACCCAGCTACCCCTTAATTAAAACACACCTGTTTACTGTCCTGGCTCCAAAATGGTGGAACGAGTTCCCCATTGATATCAGGACAGCAGAAGGTCTGCACACCTTCTGTCGCAGACTAAGACCCCATTTACACGGGAAGGTTTGCGTTTACGCACCGTATGCGTTTTCAAAAAGGTATTCCGTTCACACGCATTCGATTCATTTAACGTGTCCGTTCACTCGAGACCGCTCGACCTGCTGGAAACGCTGTAGTACATATGCCAGGCCTGTAAGTGGCGCTGCTGCCGCCACAAAATACACCAAAAGCAGCGAAGAAGACCCCGGAGCATGGTTGCCATGGTTGCCCTTCTGTTTATTCTCCGCGGTGGACGGCGTGTGCTCCTGCTCTCTCCGGTAGTCCACCAGCAGATGAAAAACACTCACCTCTCCGCCTCTTCCAAGGGACGAGGGGACCGTGCGGCAGAGTGTCCGTTCAAAAATGTTTCGCCGATCAACATGTCCGTTGAAGTTTAAATCTTCCATACAAAATTTGAAAAGTGCCGGTCAAAGGTCTTCTTTGTTATTTATTGAGCTTTAAAACAAACAACGACTCTATATAATAATAAAAAACTGAGCCTCTCTTTTCCTCCCCCTCTTCTGACAGCCCAGCAGCTGATCTCTGAGCAGGAGACGTGGGGAGAGGGAGACGTGGGGAGAGGGAGACGTGGGGAGAGGGAGGCGGGGCTATCAGAAAATGATCGTATAGAGGCTTACACACGGAGCCGTTTGCCCCCCCCAGAGCGTTCCGTTTGCAGATCTATCCACCTTGGGACCCGTTATCATATGCGGGGTCCGTTTCTATCGTTTAGTTACGGCCTCGTGTAAACGAAAGGGCTATACGCAAGAGAAACGGGGTCTCAAAACACTCCTTTTCACACTGGCCATTAAACCCAACAAAAACAAGCTAATGTACCTGCATGGTTGTCCCTGTTGACGTTTATGATTTTTGCACTTAATCTACATTGTTTTGCATACAAGTAATGTAAAATAACTGGGTGGATGCTGAGGTGATGATGGGGTTTAAAGCAGCAATGGTGCAGAGCAGGGCAGGGCAGCATTAGTGAAGCACAGCAGATCAGGCAGTTTAAATAGAGCACCAGATACAGAACATGTGTTTGGTCACGTTTATATCATAGCTCGTGTTGACTGCCTGAACTAGCTTGCGGGATTCGCTTAATTCCTTCTACACTCTTTAAAATGCTCTCCAAGTTACTTGTTTATTTCAATTCAACCCATTGTGGATCATCCATATTTTCCAGTTTTGATTTCATTCTTATTAGGGCTGTCAAGTTAACGCAAAAAAAAAATTAACGCCACTAATTATTTTAACGCGATTAACGCATGTGTATTTTTTGTCCTCGGCCGCCCCGTAGTTTCAGAGCGCATCGAGTTTAAAATACCATCTACATGATGATGCTGACAGCCCCGCTCCTGCCGCCCGCTTGTGGCAGACCACACTTCCACGCTCACCGGCAGGCCCGGACTGGCCATCGGGAGGACCGGGAGGGAGTGTGTATGTGTGGCGCGACTCGCGCGAGCGAGGCACACCTTACGTGTTGTTGTTGTTAGCATCTGGTGCTAGCTAGCTGCGCTAACGGATATAAGGAGCTGTTTCAATGACATTTCGCCGACAACTGTGCCGAGCACTTGACTTTATGCAGGTAGCCAGACAGTGGGACATTGTACGAAAAGTCAGCACACTCAGCACGGATAGTGCGCGCTACATGATTGCAGCGTCCAGGCAGCACACGTTCGAGCATATATGCCTTGAGCGGCACATAGCTCCAACGATCCATCACAGTGTCTCCACATTCTCACACACACACACACACACACACACACACACACACACAACACACACACACACACACACACACACACACACACACACACACACACACACACACACACACACACACACACACACACACACACACACACACACACACACACACACACACACACACACACACACACACACACACAGTATTATTGTATGAGAGAGGTTCCAGGTTGAATTGAAGCGAATATTTGTAATGTTCAGAGGTTGTTGTGTTTAATATTCATGAGAATATTTGTCATTGTTCAAATGATAATAAACAAACATATAAAGCATATTTGTCCACTCATATGTTGATAAGAGTATTAAAAACTTGAAAAATATCCCTCTAAGGTACATTTAGAACAGATACAAAATGTGCGATTAATTTGCGATTAATCGCGATTAACTATGGACAATCATGCGATTAATGGCGATTAAACATTTTAATCGACTGACAGCCCTAATTCTTATACATAAAAGGACAATATACACCAGACTGGAACACTTTTTTAATCACTCAGACAGCATGTTGAACATATCCACCTTTATTCTTCCAGACTGACACAAAGTACAGTTTCAACAGTAAACTGTGATAACGTTTCAGTAACATATTCATATTTCATCATCCCTAATCTAAGAAGCTTTGGTTTAGTCCAAACAGCCCGCTGCTCTTTACTCTGAGCAATCACAGATTCTCTGAACAGAAAAATGTGGATCCTAGAAAATGCCTCACCAAACCCATGGCTGTAGAACAATGAGAAGACATTTTTTGAAAAGTTGATTTGTTCTGGGATTTGTTCATCCCAAATAAATATCTTTAGATTTAAAAATAGATTTTAACTGAATCCCTAAACGGTATGTATCGCAAAACCCTGCATCTTAGTGAAGTTAATTAATCTAATGTTGAGCCATTAAGTCTTACTCAACTTGTTTTCAAAATAAAATATGCACAATCTGCTTGTGTATAATGATGAAGCTTGTTTTAAAGCTCCCATGTCATGCTTTTCCGGTTAT